TCCTGCGGATTCGAACCACCAACCTTCTAATCCGCAAGCCCAAGAGGCTCAGTGGTTTAGACCACATCGCCACCCGCGTCCATCTATGTATTAACTTGAAATAATTTTCTCTAATGCAGGTTGATGTTAATTTTTGGAGGTGGTTGCCCATAGGTTGTTCCAATCTAAAGGTCTCCAGTCTTAGGTCAGTGGAGGAAAAGTCTCCTTTGCCTAATATCAGTGGATTCTCGATTCTCCCTGCAGCCCCTTCAACACAGTCTGCTGTGGCTGGTCTGCTTCGTTGCCTGCACCAATTCTCTTGATGGCAGGAGGAGGGAAGTGGAAAGCTCCACTGTGTGAGCTTTACTTCGACACCTTGTCCATGTCAAATCTAACCCATTGACTTGGCCTCCCTTCCTTATTACATTTGTCGGTGACATCCTGTTCTTAGAAATGGCTGGTGTGTAACCAGATATGCCACCGCCGGTGCCAAAGAATTCAAGCACCCAGATTCCAGCGGCGCTAGAGAAAGGCGTTGGGTCATTTTGGCACCGTGTACCCATTGATGCATTAGCACAGCAAGTACCATTCATTTTCCCAAGGACGCACTAAGCCCCTGAAATGCATGCCAAGTGGTGTTAGTAAAGAATCTTGCAAGTGATTCTAATCTATGTGCAAAATTTATTAAGCTTGGTGCAAGGGACAATGGCACGACAGCCTCAGAGGCATTCCTTTTGTCTACAGGCTGCCTCTTTCATTTAGGATAAATCAGGTTTACACTACCTTGGGGCAATCTCGATTCAGTCTCTGCACAGTCAGAGTCAACATCAGAGAATGCAGGGGAATAGCTTGGAAGACGTTGGCAGCCTTCCTTTCAGGTGCTAAGAAATTGTTGTTGTTGTTACAGCTCGTTTGTTGCTTGTTACACAAACAAAATGTGCACAAGCAATGTAAAACGTGTTTAAGAGCACAAGCATAGGTAAAAAATACATTTAAAGAAAGAAAACACACGAAATTGCTTTGGTGTCCCAACTAAGAGCAAACAATAAAATTGCAATCCAACAATGGGCAGGCCAGAAAGTGAGTTTTTCATCTGGCATGGAAAAGGTGTCAGCGGAAGCACCAGGCAGGCCTCACTGGGGAGGGCATTCCACAAATGGGGAGCCACAACTGAAAAGGCCCTGTCTCCTGTCATCTTCCTCTGAGCCTCTCTCACATTCTGTTGCATATGCAAACGCAGGACCAACTCCAGAAAATGTAAGAGAGCGATATGTAAGGGGGGAATTGTAGAATGTATATACAATTCTGTTTTCTATTATATACATGGTCAGGGATGGTGGAAGGTCACAAGTTAGCTGGGGCTATCTTAGCGCATTAACTTCCATGTGACTCCTCTGAATTTATGTATATTGTATTCTTAAATACAATATACATAAAAATGCAAAACTAAGGCGCAGGTGGCAATGGGTTGCGGGGTTGTCAAGATTAGTAATAGCCATCTATATTGTTGCTTGGAGCTGTGGGGAGTTAATAGAAAAGTAACATTTCCAAGAGTATATTATTCCAGCAGTGCTGTAATGACCACTCCCTATGTCCGAGAGGCAGCAGCAATGAACAATTAATGTTTTCGGCAGATAGCTCTGCTCTCATGATAGAAGAGTTTGGATTTGATATCCTGCTTTATCACTACCCGAAGGAGTCTCAAAGCGGCTAACATTCTCCTTTCCCTTCCTCCCCCACAACAAACACTCTGTGAGGTGAGTGGGGCTGAGAGACTTCAAAGAAGTGTGACTAGCCCAAGGTCACCCAGCAGCTGCATGTGGAGGAACGGAGACGCGAACCCGGTTCCCCAGATTACAAATCTACCGCTCTTAACCACTACACCACACTGGCTCTTTGTTGGGTATACTTGGACGCGGGTGGCGATGTGGTCTAAACCACTGAGCCTCTTGGGTTTGCCAATCAGAAGGTCAGCAGTTTGAATCTCTGCGATGGGGTGAACTCCCATTGCTTTGTCCCAGCTCTTGCCAACCTAGCAGTTTGAAAGCACGCCACTGCAGGTACATAAATAGGTACCACTGTGGCGGGAAGGTGAATGGCATTTCCGTGTGCTCTGGTTTCCATCACAGAGTTCTGTTGTGCCAGAAACGGTTTAGTCATGCTGGCCACATGACCTGGAAAGCTGTCTGTGGACAAACACCGGCACCCTCTGCCTGAAAGTGAGATGAGCGCCACAACCCCATAGTTGCCTTTGACTGGACTTAATGGTCCTTTACCTATAGTTGGAGATATCAGCACAGGCCCGTGGAACCCCTTGAGATCCTTCCCAGCACCTTCTCCCTGCTGGGCTTTTGCTCTAATAGAACTCTGCATCTTTCCCCAGTTCTTCCTTATCTGGCCCCACTCCAGAAAGGAGAAATGTCCAGCTTGTCTAGCTGCAAACTTGTCTCTCAGAAATTCTCCATCAGCAAGCCCCACAGCTGCCCTAGGTGGCTCCTGGTGGCCCGTTGCAGTCTGTATGCAAGTGGAGCCCACAACAGCCCCTCCTGTTGGTTTGGGCCCATGGACCCAAAAAAGTTAGCTACCATTGGCTTGGCCATTTCTCCAGCCACATTGGCAATACTTCAGCTTCGTAGAGACTTCATGTGGAAGGGGCCTGAACATGACATAGAGCATCTTCTCCTGGGCACCCACAGGCAGTGGGGCGGCGCTTCAGGGCACACTAATGCTAGGAGTGGGATGAGCCTGCACTGACCCACACACCCCTCTTCGAATGCACATAAGGTTTTGATTTTAAGCAAATAATCATCATAATAATAGTCATTCTGGATCGATCCTGCCCCCAAATGCACCCGAGATGAAGGAACTACAGGTTCTTCCTTCTCTTGAGCTTGTTAATATGCAGGAGAGCACGGCACATGCCAAGTGACTATAAATGCGGAGATGGAGAGAACATTGGTGGAGCTCAGATGTAAAACGGAACTGTCATGTTCTACAGCGGAAGCAGTGCAGCAGCCAAAGTTGAAAGAGAAGCACGATGACTTTCGGAAATGTTATAATTGGGATTCACAAGGGTCTAATAAAGCAACCATCTTTTCTGCTGCTCTCCTTAGATGTTGTTCGACAGAGTGTTTGTGTGTTGAGAAGGGACGGTTTGTGGGGGGGGGGGACTTTCCCATACACATGCGTTGCTTGAAACCTGGAATTTTCTCATAATTAGGCCTTGTTTGCACAGTTGTAGATGTGAGAATGTTGTACAATGCAGTCAGATGGCACATATGACGTAACTTAAGTTGCAGCTCCATCAGCAGTTTGAGGGTGGTAATATTGGACTACCTTCAGGGCTGTTGTAAGATTACTGAAATAATGTGTTCAAAACCACTCTGAATTGGGAATGAATGAGACCGTCTACTTCCAGCCCCATTTTCCATGTGTTGATTCTTAAGTGTATTCCGCATTTCCCCCCACATTGAGCAGGGAGGGTCCCTGTGTTTGAGACTTCTAGGTTGTCTTTCTGTTTTGATGTTTTAATTTTTAATTTTTAGACTGAGCACCACTTAGAGATTTTTAAAATATTAACTGGTGTTTATTTAATGCTTTTAAATAAATAAAAATTAATTTGCAGCTTTGTAATATCAATCGCACAGAAATTCAGATTTAAGTAGTATCTCATCTCAAAATACATAGCAAATCCATTTTAGCTTGATATATGCATTTCTATATGTATTTTAGGCCAAGATCCATATTTTGTAGCAGCTTTTGAGCTAATAATTTTACAGGAAGCCTACAACTTATGTGCATTACTTGTGTGCATTCAATTTTTGCTCGTGGCAAAAAAATATACATTAAAATTAAAAAGGGAGTGGGAAGGAGGCAGGGTTCCGGGGGAAATGACTTCAGCAATCCCACTTACCATTGAACCCAGTAGGTTGTAACTACAGTCGTACCTCGGCTCCCAAATGCCTTCAGAGTCAAATGTTCCTGCTCCCAAATGATCAAAAACTGGAAGTGAGTGTTTTAGTTTTCAAACTGGCTTCCTGCGGCCAATCAGAAGCTGTGCTTTGGTTTCTGAATGTTTCGGAAGTCAAATGGACTTCTAGAACAGATTACATTCAACTTCCGAGGTACAACTGTATATGCAATTTTGGCTCTAGGCACAATCCCCAGAACGTAAGCCTTGTGTAAGTTGCAAGCTTACTGTATTGCAGATTTTGTGGAAATGCAAATGTTGAAGGAGAAATGTTTGCCATCCCTCAGATTAGGCCCCATCTGCACTCTACATTTAAAGCAGTATCTTGCCACTTTAAACAGTCATAGCTTCTCTCAAAGAACCCTGGGAGTTGTAGTTTCTAAAAGGTGCTAAGAACCCTATTAGGAGACCCCTATTCCCCTCACAGAGCTACAATTCCCAGAGTTCCATAGAAAGAGAGATTGGTTGTTAAATCGCTCCAAGAACTGTAGCTCTGTGAGTGGGATAGGGGTCTCCTAATAGGGTTCTCATCACCTTTTAGAAACTACAGCTCCCAGGATTCTTTGCGAGAAACCATGGCCATAGTGCTTTCAATGTAAAGACCAGATGGGTCTTTAACCTGGGAGCCTGGATAAGGTAAGTTTGCACCAGCAGTCACAGGAATCATGTACTGTTATGTACTGAAGTTCTCACCCTGGGCCAGCAGGGGGATACTGTAGATAGTTTTCACTCAGGTCCACATATGCGAATAAGGAATTGAAAGTGACGTTCAGTGATTGGATAGTTACAGAAAGTTGTTACTGTTGCTTTGTAGTTGAGCTCTATATAAGCAGGTTGGCTGAACCCTTCAGCTCAGTTCTGTTGTGGGCCTGTGAATAAACAAGAGCTGTTGAAGAATCGCTGTGTCGTCTGATATGTTCACCCACAACTCAACGTGTACCTCAAGCATCCCTGCTTAAAAGGCTCCAAAGGCTTCTCACTACAGAGACTTACTAACCCTTTTGTTGCTTAGCCTCAAGTGTGCGATCTTCTCCTATCTTTCTTTCTACAGGCAAACGAGAGAGCAAGAAACTCCCCCAGACTTTTTCTATTTCTCGGACTACGAGCGGCACAATGCGGAAATTGCAGCATTTCACCTGGACAGGTAGGGAGCACAGAGCAATAAAAACAACAAAATGGCAGGGAATCACCTACTGAGTTTTAGGTTTGTATGTTGCATGGATATTTATTTGTTTGTTTGTTTGTTTGTTTGTTTGTTTGTTTGTTTGTTTGTTTTAAAAAAACAACCCTTGTGAAGTCTGACTCTGTGAACTGTGTGCCTGCTCAGTCCACTGTCTGAGGTGCTAACAGCTATTGCAGGGATAGGAAACTCCAGCCCTCCAGATGTTTGGGACTACAATTCCCATCATCCCTGATCACTGGTCCTGTTAGCTAGGGATGATGGGAATTGTAGTCCCAAACATCTGGAGGGCCAGAGTTTGCCTATGCCTGAGCTGTTTGGGTAACTTCAAGCCCCCCGTCTGCTCTCTTTCCTTTTCTTTGAGAGCCAGTGTGGTGTAGTGGTTAGAGTGCTGGATTAGGATTTGGGTGACGAGGGTTCGAATCCCCACTGGGCCATGAAGCTCATTGGGGGGGGGCAGTGCCATATTTACATATAAGCTAAACAAGCTATAGCTTAGGGCCCCACTCTCTTGGGGGCCCCCAAAAAAATTAAAGGAAAAAAACCTGGATGTACATCTCCAAAATATAAGATAAAAAACAAATAAAATAAAACCTACATACAGCAACAGTGTTTTGTGTCATGTAGGCTCCTGTTTGTTATGTGACTTTAGATACCTATTAGGTCCATAAATTACCATGTAGCATATATTCAACACGAAAAACAGCGGCAATTTGTTGCTGACAAAGGACAGCTGGACATATAAAGGGCCCCATTACCTTCAGTAGCTTAGGGCCTCATCAAACCTAAATCCTGCCCTGGGAGGGGGGCAGTCAGTGCCTCTCAGCCTAACCTCCCTCACAGGGTTGCTGTGGGGATTACCTGAGGAGGGGAAGAACCATGTACACTATCTTGAGCTCCATGGAGAAAAGGAGTGGGGTATAAATTAAATAAATTAACAAGACTTGGGCCAGGCAGCCTTTCAAACAGATGACACATTCAGACAGGGTACTGTCCATTGTAAAGTAGGGCACCCAATTGCCCCTTGCTGAGGTCTATAAACAACACAAGCAAAAAGGCTGCCTTTGAATTCAGTAGTATGTACAATCCTTGAGGGCAGTGAGTTTGTTTAGTTCGCACATTCATGCAAACCTATTTTACATTTCCTAAGCAATCCGTGAAGCAGAGCATAGCAATCCTTCAAAACACTTCTCTGAATGTTGGCGTTCTGTGCTCCAAACGAGCAAACAAAATGTGTTCTAAAAGCACATATATTTTGGGGGGGGGGGGGAATGTGCCCAAAAGTGTGTGCATTTGGGATAGTGATACAGTGATACCTTGGTTCTCAAACTTAATCCGTTCCAGAAGTCCGTTCCAAAACCAAAGCGTCCCGAAACCAAGGCACTCTTTCCCATAGAAAGTAATGCAAAATGGATTCTTCGGTTCCAGACTTTTAAAAACAACCCTTAAAACAGCAATTTAACATGAATTTTACTATCTAATGAGACCATTGATCCATAAAATGAAAGCAATAAACAATGTACTGCAGGCACAAAATCAATCGATCAATCAGTAGCTGAACTGGGTTCCACACAGTCACAAAAACAAAAATGCAAAATAATTAGCAAAAACAGACTTACCTCAGCTTAACACTCAAAACGGAAGTGTGGCACTCAAAATGGAGTATATTTGGCTTCTGGAAAAAGTTCACAAACCAGAACACTTACTTCCTGGTTTGCAGTGTTTGGGTTCCAAGTTGTTTGAGTATCGAGGCGTTTGAGAACCATGGTACCACTGTATACCAAAAATGCACTACAGATGGGGAAATGGCTTGCAAAAGTGCATCTATTGAAAGAACTGGCTGCCCAAACACCTTCTGGTACAGAAGTGGGCAAAACAGATTTCAAGACAGGAAAAATGAGAAACTGAAATGGCCAGGATTGTCATTTCAATGCCATACTCTCTCTCTCCCCCCCCCACCTCTCAGAATCCTGGATTTCCGGCGTGTCCCCCCAGTCGCAGGCAGATTAGTTAACATGACCAGAGAAATAAGGGACGTTACGCGTGACAAGAAACTATGGAGGACCTTTTTCATCTCACCAGGTATGTACTTCCGTTCTGAAATGTAATTCACTTTCTTATTAAAAAATCTTTATGACAATATATTCCAGAGGGCTTTGCAGCAATACAGCAAGTAAAATTACAAACTGGATAAGGCGATCAACCATCTAGCAGCACAGATAAAAACTACACTATTTAAAATAAGCTTTTTTTTTTTTTTGCCTGACATAGAAAATAAAGCAAGGTTGGCGCCAATTGAGCCTCTCGAGGGAGGGCATATTTTTCTTACTGCCATAAAAACAGGTCTTATTTTAACATGGCGCAGGTCAGGTTGATGTTTCCCACCGAGTCCTGCATCTTTTAGAAGAGGGAAACTGAATCTTTGGCCTTCCAGATATAGTGGACTACGGTGGTATCTCAGGTTACAGACGCTTCAGGTTGCAGACTCCGCTAAACCAGAACTAGTACCTCGGGTTAAGAACTTTGCTTCAGGATGAGAACAGAAATCATGTTAAGAATAGTTTCAGGTTAAGAACGGACCTCCAGAACGAATTAAGTTCTTAACCCGAGGTACCACTGTACAACGTAAATACATCTTTCTGCCCAGAGTTGCTTAATCTCCCCTAAGGTCTCCTAATATTTAAAGCACATGGCTTGCCCCAAAGAATCCTGGGAACCACCATTTGTTAAGGGTGCCAAGCTTTGCGGGAGGTAGACTACAGTTCCCAAGATTCTTTGGGGAAAGCCATGATTTGTAAATGTATGGTGTGGATGTTATATTCAAACTATGGTGGCTCATTCCCCCAGAAAGCAGTGATGGCCACCAACACGGATGGCTTTAAAAGAGAATTGGATAAATTCATAGTGGAGAAGACCATCCCTGGCTACTGGCCGTGATGGCTATGACCTGCCTCTACAGTTGGAGGCATCAATGATTCCGCATTCCAGTTCCTGGAACCACAGGAGGGGAGAGGGCTCTCATGTTCCTATTCTGCTCCCTGGTTTCCCACGGGCATCTGGTTGGCCACTGTGGTTGGCTAGACTAGGTGGGCTGTGATGGGCTGAGACTCGGACTCAGAGCCAGAGGAGTCTCAGTCTGCACCAGATTCTTTGCCTCAGGCGGCATCTGAACCTAGTCTGGGGCCTGATTCTGAAGAGCCCCAGTCTGCACAGGTTCCCCTGCAACAAGCACCAGCTGGGCCGAGTCAGGGGCCTGAGCCTGCCCTGGCTCCAGATGCAGGGATTACCATGTTGCCTCCAGCTGGGCCATCACTTACAGCTGCTCCACTACCAGTTGGGTCAGGAGAGGCTGAGGCGGCCTCTGGGTCTAGTAACCCACCGACATCTCCCGAGCTGCAGGGACTGAGGTCTGAGAGAAGGAGAGACCTGAGTACTCGCAGGAGGAGTGCTTGCCTTCAGACGAGACAGGGAGGTGAGTCACCTGGGGGATCACGACCGGCCATTACCCTGACAGAGATAAAAGGCTGCTGGACCCCGTCCCAGGGAGCAATGCTGCTGTTTGCCAGAACCTGCCTGTGATCCTGTGCCTGACCTTGCCTGGTTTCCTGCCTCGTGTCCTGCCTTGGCCCTGTCGGACTGACTCCTTGCGGAACCCTTGGATTCAGGACCGGACCTGGACTGCGTTACTCTGGTTACCCACGGGCCCAGCACATGGGCCCTTGGCCTGATCCTGCAGACTCTTCTTACGTTTCATGCAGGATGGAGTTTACGGCTCCCCATTTCCTGCAGGGTCCCAACCTTTGTAGGCCCATCCTGTTCCCTGAATCGCTGCCTTTTGATGCCAGCGTTCCATAATCTGCTTATACTGGTGAGGCTTAATGAACTTCAGCATTCGTAGAGAAAGACCCCTGGTGACGTTTTGTTAATAACAGCTGACTGGCAAAGAAATGGGCAGGGGGAGCTAGATCACCTCCACGTAAATATTTCAAGCGATTTGCAGATATTTAAAATTCTTAACTGGACTCCTCTCGCTAAGAAAAATAGACAGAGGCTGCACCGTTCTATGAACGTCTAGAATTATATAAGGATCGTATGGAGATGGTTATCTTAGCTGGCAGCCTGAACAGTGAGTTCCTGGGCTTCTGTTGTTTTAAGTTCCCAAGTTGCCTCTGCAGTTTTACTTCTGGAAATTACTCAGGTTGTTCCTTAGGCTTCAATATATAACCAGGGTTGTTATAATAACGACAGAGCTTTTGCAACCTTTGCTGAAGCCTGGTGGTAAGGATGAGGAAGAAATTTGATCGAGTTGCATTTAAAGGCAAACCTATTGAATTCCAAAACAATTTCATGAACTGGAGCACCCAGCAGGATGAAAACCCACCTCCTCCAGCTGATTGACAGGTGGACTCCATTTGTGGAAGATGACCTCATGCATCAAACTGGATCCCCTGACAAGCTAGAAGTTCCCTTATAGGCCTGAAGCTGCCCCATAGGCAAGCGGTTCCTCATCCTCATTTCTTAAACACACAGAAACACACGCATAGCTGTTTCTACAGGGTATTTGGGGCTGAAAAATGGCCATGGCAGTTTTGTTCAAGAATTACTCTCCATCGAAGGCACCAGCCTTTTGTTCGAAGAAACCTGCCTGAAAGTGGCGCGGGGGGGGGGGGGAGGCGGGAAGTCGATAACACAATGCTACGTTTGGAAAGAAAAAGAGGGCTGGAGCACTTTAGACTAAATGTGAGGAATGGAAATAGGTCAGTAATTATTTAAATGCACTGATACGTCCTTTTGCAGTTGGGCCGACTGCTATAACTCCAGGCCTTGGACGAATGAGTGGTAATTTAGCAGCAAAAAGAGACATATTAACAATGTCTGCCATAGTTTCCAGAGTAATTGAAGCGGCAGTTTACCGAAATCAATGTTACATAGTTAGTAAGTGCTGGGGCTTTTGTTCATGTTAACCAATCACAGGGGATTATGGATTTCCACCCCAGTATCCCCCCTCCCTCCGAGTAAGCAAACAATAGCATATCTGCTCCTGTTACCCAGGAGAGATAGATTAAGATCTCTCTGTGTTTCCTTTGAATGTGTGTTAGATGAGTATCGTTCTCCAGGATTTTGAACGTGCAGAAGGATAAATGACTAACTGTGCAAACCATATTTCTAACCCTACCAAGACACAGAGGACTCTCTCCACAGATTACACAGCAAGAGGCCCAGGGTTTTCTCCCAGCTACCCAACGGGGCACCACAGCCTGTGGCAAGCCTAAAATATGACTGCCTGAGGCAAAATATAAGATGACGCCTCCCTCTCCGTTCTGCAAGAGAAAGTGGATAGAGAAAAGCTTTTTTTCTTCCTCTCCCATTAACAGTAGAACTCAAGGGCATGCAATGAAGCTGATTCGGGACAGATAAATGAAAGTTGGAACTCCCTGCCACTGGAGGCAATGATGGTCACCAACTTGGATGGCTTTAAAAGAGGAGACGACAAATTCCAGGAGGAGAGGGCTATTGATGGCTACTGTCATGGACTGGCTAGATGCAGAGGACTGGTGGGAGGCTACAGTTGGGGAACCCCCAGGGGAAGAAGGCTCAGAGTCTGGGGATTGGTGGTGGGATGACAATGAGTGGTCAGACGGGGAAGAGGGAGCAGACTAGGAAGAGGAGGTGTTGGAATCTGAAGAGGCAACGGGGTTTAGTGAGCAGGGAGAGGCTGTGGCAGAGAGCAGTCCAGACTCAGAGGTAGGAGAAGGGGTGGGAGACACAGAGATGAGGCAGGCTGCTGAAGAAGCCAGGGAGTCTCCCCCTCCTGCTGCAGCCAGCTCATCCAGTCTCCCAGAACCCACAGAGAAATGAAGAGAGCAGAGCAGAAAATGCTTCTGTGCAGATGCAGTCTCAGAAAACCCTGCAGAAGAGGGGACTTAGGGAAAGCGGGGACCTTCAGTCCTCACAACTGCCGCATTGTGCAAGACCTACTGGAAAGAGTTGCTGGGATCACTAGGCCTGCTCTGTTTGGGTTTCTTTGAATAAAGAGTTAAATTGACAGGCATCGTGCTTTTTATCGCTGATCAAGACCTGACTCCAACTCTTGAAGGCTCCTCTCATCTTGGAACTTCCACCATCAGCAACCCTTCCTCCTGGGTGCATTAGGACAGTATTCTTCAGCCTTTGTTCTCCAGACGTTTCAAGACAAAACTCCAATTATCCCAGACCTTTGGCTAAACTGGCTGAGGATGATGGGAGTTGTAGTCCAAAAGGCCAAAAGGTTGAAAAACACTCCTCCATTATTATTATTTGGGGGGGGTCAACTGTTTTTTGGCTTTTAACCTCCCAGAATTGCTTCCTGCAGTGAGCATTTCACCTGGATATTATGTAGCTTCATTATGTAGATGTTTGAAAAAGTCAGTATGAGAATTTGCTTATGTTCTCCTTTGGTTCCCCACCTCACCCCTCTTTTGTATCTGTCTCAAAGCCATGATGATAAACAGGAAACGGCCGAAATGCTTTGGCAGAAAAGGCAATGCATGAATGTAGCAAAATAAATAAATATATATAATTCCCTCTAATGGCAAACTCAGTCGTGAGTGCTGATTAGGATTTGTAGCCCAAATGGGGCCACTGAAAAACAAGAGGAAGTTATCAGCATGCTCAGGGAGATGTTGAGGCTGGTAGAAGTATTTTTTTTAAAAAAATAAAAATATATATAGTGAGACAAAAGAAGGAAAAACCTAGCTCCCTGAGGACTGAGCAAGCTGAACATGAGTACTGGGGTGTTGATAGTCAGTCTGGAAAATAAAAACAAGGAAATGGGAGGTGGTTGGAATGGCATAGCCTGGAAAAGGGGCTTGGCTGGCCAACTTGCAGGAACCCTGAAGCTGAACGTTCCTCCTAGGAGCTGAAGATATCTGCTCAGTAGCCATAAAAACAGGAAAGCAGGTGGTGAACAAAATGGAGTATTCTGGAAAAGGGCACGTCTGCCTGGCTAGGAGCTGAGGATACACAGCAGCATTTTGTAGCAGGTCCCATTTGTATCAGCTAGTCATTCCGTTGCTCTCTTTTAACATCAAAGACATGGAAGATGCTCCCTCACCACCTCTCTCTTTCTCTCTCTTCTCAGCCAACAACATCTGTTTCTACGGCGAGTGCTCTTACTACTGCTCCACGGAGCATGCTCTTTGCGGGAAACCAGACCAGATCGAAGGCTCCCTCGCTGCCTTTCTGCCAGACCTGTCTTTGGCCAAAAGGAAAACCTGGAGGAATCCGTGGAGACGTTCCTATCACAAGCGCAAGAAAGCTGAGTGAGTCCTCCTCCCATTTAGGCAAAAGGCTTCCCGGCACCCCAGCGGCTATTTTTGCTGGGCCGCTTATGAGCAGCAGGCAATTAGTTTTCCGTGGTTTCGTAGCCAGACGTTGATTCAAAACCTGCTGAGAATGATGGGCACGTTTCCATCGGCTTCAGTTGGCTCTCTTGAGGAGAGCAAAACCATAAACCGTTCCAACCCATGTTCCCCCATCTGGACACCACTTTTATTTAATTCAATTAAGTGATCTTCTTTTCCCCCTGCCGATGTCATAGTCTCCATAGGAGAGTCCGCTTGAAAAGCTTCAAAATCAAAGCTTCTGGACTCCATTGCAGCTGTACTGAATCACAAACTGAGGAAGATACCTTATACTGATTCAGGTCATTGGTCCATCTACCCCTGTATTGTCTACACTGACTGGCAGCATCTCTCCAGGGTTTCAGGCAGGGATATTTCCCAGCTTTACCTGGAGGTGCCAGGGATTGAACCCAGGACCTTCTGCATGCAAAGCACATGTTCTACCGCTGAGCTGCAGCCTTTCCCCTTGCATTCTCTAGAACTGACAAAGAATCTGCCTCCTTCTACACCAACACGCAGCTGTACCAAAACGGAGATGTGAAAGGGAGGAATCTGTGTGTCCCTGCCCCGCATTGCTTTTTCTAGGTATTCTGTTTCTTCCTCCCAGATTTCTCCCTGTGCCCCTCCCTGTACACCTGCATTGTGGTGCAGAAGGAGTTGACCAGATGCAGCTCTAATGAGTGCAAGCTTCAGTAAATCTATATCAAACAGCTGTGTCTGTCTGGGTGAAGTGGGGCCACAAAGCTAGTGTCGAGAAAATTAGTAACAGTTCACCTTTACTGGGGTTTCCAAGAGGAGCACCAATAGACACAGGTTTTAAGCGAAAACTTAGGCCTTTATTAATCCTAAAAAAAATCAGAAAGGGGTTGTATTTTACTACTGCCAGGCATCACCTTTATACAGTGGTACCTCTGGATACGCACACCTCTGGTCATGTATCCTTCAGGATGCAAACACGACAAACCCAGAAGTATTTTTCCGGGTTTCACCATGCATGCACAGAAGCGCTCTACTGTGCCGCGCGCATGCGCAGAACAGGCACCTCCAGTTTCAAATTACTCGGGATTCGACTGGAGCTGTGGAATGGATCCTGTGCGCAACCAGAGGTACCACTATATATATCCAGCTACAAAAGTGATTACCACTTAAACAATCAGACAGTTATCACAGCAGTTGTCTTCATCGCAGTAAAACAGTTACAACACACTGTTGTCATTCTTAAACCACTCAGAGATCCTTTGACCCTTCTGACTACCCCAATGTTCTCATTTTAATATGTGAATACACATAACCATCTTTCAGCATCTTTCTTTGTTGTCCTCTAATAGCTCTGTGTATTATCTGTCAGCCAATGTCTGCTGTCAGTTATCTATGTTGACATTTGGGGTCTCTTCTTGATCTAGGATTTAGTGTATTTACTTTGCTCAGCCAACCTCCTAGCGTTTAGTTCTTCGTGTCACATCTTCCCAGATCGTATTCTATCCCTTCCAGTTGGGGTAGGAACTATAAAAGAACCACAGCTTGCCTGTACGTCTCCTTAAAAGCAGCCTGTTTGTTAGTAAAGCTCATGCACAGATTTCAGACTGCAAAGTTCTGAATGCACAAAATGAATTCGGAGATGAAATAAAATGGGGACATTCTCCTACGCTACCTTCCCAGCAGGTGGGTCGCTTGCTTACCTGGAGCAAGAGGTGAGCAGGGAGGTCAGTGTGGTGGGAAAGCAGCAGCAGGAGTGTTGGATTGGATCCTCCCTCCCTTGTGTTTGCACCATGCTGACCTCCTCATCACCACATCTGTCTCCCAGAAAGCAACAGCCTTCTGCCTGCTGGGAACCCAGTATAGTGTCTCTGTCCCACCCAGGGAGCTGATTCTGGTACCAAAGTCCCGAACCATCTTATATGTAATTGGAAGTGATCTTTTAGATTCCTGGCTATTTATAGAAACAATAGGCAAATGCCACCCTGTCAAAAGTACGTCCGTCTTCCTTTGACCTTTCATTACTTGAAGTCTATGAGATGATCTTTCCAATAGAACTATTTGCCAAACTCTAAAGTACCAATACTGTAGATTCTTGAACTTAATTCTCCTGCCTCAGTATTTAGTTATTGTCACTCTCGCCGCAAAAAGGAGAGGACTAATCAGTTCCTTCTCCTTCAGATCTTGCTAAATAAATAAGTCTAAAACTGTTCCCAACACCACACTGGCTGTCAGCTTCTTGTAAGGGTGCCTGTAATACACACACAAAGAGAGAGAGAAATAAAATTGGGACGCATGCCAGAAAGCCCTGAAGATTTTCTCCTGTTTATTTTGAACTCAAGGAGAAAGCTCCTGCTGGCTTTAATATTGAAAAGATAAGAGCGGTGTGTTTTTCCATCTACATTCTCCTAACGCTGTTGCTTTTCCCAGGTGGGAAGTTGACCCGGACTATTGCGAAGAGGTCAAGCAAACACCGCCCTACGACAGGGGGACCCGAGTGCTGGATATAATGGACATGACCATTTTTGACTTTCTCATGGGTAGGTATCCTAGACCTCGAAATAAAAATGGCACCGTGTGAATCCCAACTCAATCCTGCACATGTTAGCAGGCCTTTGGGATGGAGGAAAAATTCATTTCATTTTTAAGCAAACACACACACACACACACACACACACACACAGCCTGCACTGATACATAGATTAGCATGTAATTATTCTTCTGATGGGGGGACGCGGGTGGCGCTGTGGGTAAAAGCCTCAGCGCCTAGGGCTTGCCGATCGAAAGGTCGGCGGTTCGAATCCCGCGGCGGGGTGCGCTCCCGTCGTTCGGTCCCAGCGCCTGCCAACCTAGCAGTTCGAAAGCACCCCCGGGTGCAAGTAGATAAATAGGGACCGCTTACAAGCGGGAAGGTAAACGGCGTTTCCGTGTGCGGCTCTGGCTCGCCAGAGCAGCGATGTCACACTGGCCACGTGACCCGGAAGTGTCTCCGGACAGCGCTGGCCCACGGCCTCTTGAGTGAGATGGGCGCACAACCCTAGAGTCTGGCAAGACTGGCCCGTACGGGCAGGGGTACCTTTACCTTTTTATTCTTCTGATGAGTGGCCCCATCAATTGTGGAGCAAGGCGACGGGCTTGCTGTGGAGGGAATTGTGCTCCATTTGGAGGAAGCGGATCAAATGCAAACTGCTTTCTCAGCAGAGGGGGAAATGTTCCTTTTCGACTCCAGAAGGAGCCTTTCCCCCTCTGCAAAGATCTTCCATAAATCGTAGAATAGAATTATGGACTTGGAAGGGAGCCCACCAGACTGGTGTTTGCACACAGCCTCCTCTCAACTGTGAAAGGTGCCAGTCACCTGATATCATTATGGCATCTTGTGATTGACAGGTGGGTGTTCCTGTGGGGGGCAGCGGAGTTAGGGATCCATTACCTATCCATGGTTTACTGTCATGTGTGAACGCAACCAAAGTTTGATGGAAATATGTGCAGTGTTGCTTTTCCAGGCTCCGAGCCATTTAATAAGTATTTGGTGTGCATTTGTGTTTATCCTTCCTGCGTCCCCCCCCCCCCTTTATAGGCAATATGGATCGCCATCATTACGAAACCTTTGAGAAGTTTGGAAATGAGACGTTTATTATCCACTTAGACAACGGAAGAGGGTAATTGCTGGTGTTTCTTTCCCTTTTTAACCAATATATTTGTTTAATTTCCCCCAACATTTTTACCCCTCACAGAATCATCTGACACCATCTGCCCTGTGGGAAGGGTTCTGATTATGATTATTAATATTAAGTTACTCATTTGCCACGTTTTCCTTAAAAGCTGAGGCGTAAGGAGTCACAATAAATAAATAAGTCCACAACCAGTCACCTTATCATTCCTGCAGACCAGCGTATAAACTGGCCATGCCGTAGATCTTGAGAAAGTTCTTGTCACTTTAAGAATTGCACAGAAGGGGAAACTCTGCTTACTGCAGATGTCCCACAGCAAAAGCTGCTCTTAAAGCTACAGGGCCTTCTTAGATTTTTGCGCTGGCAAAAGGCCATAGCTCAGTGGTAGGGCATATACTTTGTATTCAGAGCATCTCCAATGAGTGCTGAGAAGGACTCATTTGCAGAAGAGGGAAACCAAGATGATAAAGGATCTGGAAACCAAGACTTACAAGGAATGCTTGGGGGTGTCAGACATGTTTAACCTGGAGAAGAGAAGACTTAGAGCGCATGGGATAGATAGCTGTCTTCAAATATCTGAAGGGCTTTCACATGGAAGATGGAGCAAGCTTGTTTTCTGTTGCTCCAGAGGACAGGACTCAAACCAGTGAATTCACATGACAAGAAAGCAGATTCCAACTAAACATCAGGAAGAACTTTCTGAGGGCAAGGACTGTTTGACCCCCTCAGAAGGTGGCTGACTCTTCTTCCTCACAGACTTTTAAAACACACCTTGATGTTGTGCCCACAGAAGTGGTAGCTTATTCCAGCCACCCACCATCAGGGGGCGTCATTGGAAAGAGGTGCAGTTTTCCAGACCCAGCACTGCACGCCTACGTTTATCCTGGTTAAACAAACTCCATTGCAAAACTGATGCCTCAAGATGCCCTCCTGACACTCTCTTCTCTTGTTTCTGTCTCTGTGATAGGTTTGGAAAATATTCCCACGACGAGCTATCCATCTTGGTGCCTTTAAATCAGTGCTGCAGGTATGCCTTCCCTTGTCAGTCATGAGCCCGGTGGCAGCCTCATGGGGAATGATTTACGGGGGTGGGCAATGTCTCAAGAAACGCTGTAAGTGTTTTGAGGATTGGTCTGTAATGGTGGCAGTTCTCTAAGGCAGTGTTCCCCAACCTTGGGTCTCCAGCTGTTTTCGGACTACAATTCCCATCATCCTTGACCACTGGTCTTGCTAGTGAGGGATGATGGGAGTTGTAGTCCAAAAACAGCTGGAGACCCAAGGTTGGGGAACACTGCTCTAAGGCACTGAAGAAACAACTGGACCTCCCTGAACAGCTGGGAGTGATAGAGGCATGAACCACGTGCCCAAAAGCCATTTTAATTTCACCAGGGGGAAGTAGTTGTTATTTATTAAATTTATATACAGTGGTACCTCGGGTTAAGAACTTAATTCATTCTGGAGGTCCGTTCTTAAACCTGAAACTGTTCTTAACTTGAGGTACCACTTTAGCTAATGGGGCCTCCTGCTGCCGTGCAATTTCTGTTCCCATCCTGAGGCAAAGTTCTTAACCCGAGGTACTATTTTTGGGTTAGCAGAGTCTGTAACCAGAAGCATCTGTAACCTGAAGCGTCTGTTAACCCAAGGTACCACTGTACTGCCCTTTATCCACAGATCTCTCATTTTAATTTTTTTTAAAAAAAATTATTAAACATTCAACATTAACTTGCACAATAGTACAATATATACATACACATACTTTACAGAAAAAGAAAAGAATAAAAGAAAAAGAAGAAAGTAAAAGATAAAAGATGGAATAAATAAAATAAACGTCCGATTATCCACAGATCTCAGGTCGGGTCATAACATAAAAATACAAGATTAAAAAAACACAAAATACATAATAGGGGGGAAAACACTTACGTAACCATCCTGTCAGTGCAGCATGGTTACTTAGCACCACATCAGATGCAAGCCATTGTTTCTATGTTTCAAGTCACTCCTAGAAATACATGCTCAGGCGTCAAGTCACTGGGTAGGCCGTTCTCTCATATTTGGCCCCCTTCTAAGGTACAAGCCTATCCTAGTAAAGGTAAAGGGACCACTGACCATTAGGTCCAGTCATGACCGACTCTGGGGTTGCGGCGCTCATCTCGCTTTATTGGCCGAGGGAGCCGGCGTACAGCTTTCGGGTCATATGGCCAGCATGACTAAACCGCTTCTGGCGAACCAGAGCAGCGCACGGAAACGCCGTTTACCTTCCCGCCGGAGCAGTACCTATTTATCTACTTGCACTTTGATGTGCTTTCGAACTGCTAGGTTGGCAGGAGCAGGGACCGAGCAACGGGAGCTCACCCCGTCACGGGGATTCGAACCGCCGACCTTCTGATCGGCAAGTCCTAGGCTCTGTGGTTTAACCCACAGCACCACCCATGTCCCACAAGCCTTTCCTACAGGGATACTAAAATGCCCTTCAGCTGGAATAGAGATGTTGTCTCAGATAGCATGGCCAATAGTCCGTGTCATCCAGGAACATCTGGAGGGGCCATAGGTTCCCAACCTAGAGTTAGACTGACCAGAGAAAAAATGCAAAATAGGGCCTTTGTACATCGCTCCATCAAAGCAGCAAACTTGGCAGCATGTACCCAGTGATGGAGGAGGAGTTTTCACCCCCCACGGCAATCTAAACTTTGTCGGAGACTCGTGGCCCAGAGCATCTGTTGGGGAGTGGGGAGAAGCACATTAGTGAAAGCCCCTCTTTCTCTCTGCCCTGTAGAAACTCATATCCATTTGGTATTTTGGAACTGTTCCAGCTCCATGCCTAGTTTACCCTCCCCTCCCTCTTTACCCTTGCAGCATCCCCCAATTTCCATTGTGTTGTCCTTCCTGGACCAGCTGTTAGAAAGCCAAGGTGATGCCTACTGAGAAATGAAACAGCCCTTTGAGATCTCAGGTTACCTGATTCTTTCCGAGGGCACAAAATGTACCTTGGATTCAGTGCATTCCAGTCCCCGGAATTAGATGACTAGTACTTGACATTTAATTAAATCTGGCTTTTACAGAACAGAGCACAAGGGTGAGGGAGAAAGAGGGCCGTAAGCGAAGAATGTAAGAAAAACCCTGTTGGATGAAACCAAAGGTCCAGCATTTTGTTCCCACAGTGGTTAACCAGAGGCTTTCAGGAGAGCCACAAGCGGAGGCTGGAACACAAACAGCTCTTTCCTGCTGCTCCTCCTAAGCTGTTTAGTATTCAGTGGCATACAGCACAGAGCAGGGGCTTCCAAAATGGACCACCAGTGATCTGCAAGCTTCACTCCGGTGGTCCGTGGCGTATTCACAGTAAACACCCAAATTTTTTTGAAATTGCATTTTTATTGCTTCTTCTGTTTCTTCTATTGCATTTCACAGCGTTGCAATTCTGCCGCATGCAAATTGCAACACAGCATAAGAAATAAGAGAAACCATAAAAATGCAATTAAAAATCGTGCGGCATCTGACACAGGCAGAAAAATCATTAAGGCTATCAGCAGTTCTCAAAAATGTTTGGGTGCCGTTGACACAGAAGCTCTGGATCCCAGACTACGCTGATGGCTTGGTTGCTCTCCAGAGACCACAACTGCCTCCAGCTGCCATTTCAAGGCTTCTGCTGCTTTCTGGGTTCAGATCAGAATGGGGAAGCTTTTTCAGCCTCAAGCCTGTATTCATTTTGTTGAATTAATTAAACTAAATAGTGTTAATTGAATTTCAAATGAATGTGCAGCAGTTACAAGCTACCGGTCTCTGCAGCCACAGCAGGCGCTGTGATTCTCCAGCCGTTTGACTTCACCCCTGGAGGTGCACTCCATTGTCCTTCGAGACAGACAGATGCCAACAAAACTTGCATTTTATTGTGTTGTGATCGTCCTTAGTGAGTCAAACATACCCCTGTTCTGAATACAGTGGTACCTTGGTTCTCAAACTTAATCCGTTCCGGAAGTCCATTCCAAAACCAAAGCGTTCCAAAACCAAGGCGCGCTTTCCCATAGAAAGTAATGCAAAGCAAATATTAATCCGTTCCAGATTTTTAAAAATCCCTAAAACAGCAATTTAACATGAATTTTACTATCTAACAAGACCATTGATCCATAAAATTAAAGCAATTATCAATGTACTGTACTATAAAATAAATAAGACAGTATTGCAGATGATAAAAAATTCAAATTAATTATTTCGTTAACTGCACTGATGATAGTCATTGTTATCCATTTCCGCAGTCACACCATCAATCAGTAGCTGAACTGGGTTCCACACAGTCACAAAAAGAAACTAACCGAAAAAGCCTCGCAAAAACCCCCGCAAATAAATAGCAAAAACAAAAGCGCCAAACTTAATACGTTCCGGAAGTCCGTTTGGCTTCTGAAATGTTCGAAAACCAAGGCGCAGCTTCTGATTGGTGCAGGCGCCCTGGAAGCAATAGCCAACAGCCGCATCGGACATTCGGCTTCCGAAAAACGTTCAAAAACCGGAACACCTACTTCCGGGCTTTTGACATTTGGGAACCAAGGCGTTTGAGTACCAAGGCGTTTGAGAACCAAGGCACCACTGTAATGTTTTTATCAGGTAGGGTGGCCTGAGGATGAGTTTATGGAACCCATGGGGAGGTGGCTTGAAAAACCTTGGGAACTGCTGCTCTAACCACTCCACCGCAATGCCTCTCTTCCCCTGCTACCTCCAGAGCCAGTAGCGTGGGCAGAACTTCATGTACCACTCGCCGCGGCAAACCTTAAATGCGGTCCTTTTCCCTCACCTTCAGTTTGCCTCTTCCTTTCCTTAGAATACGGAAGTCCACCTACCTGCGGTTGCAGCTGCTAGCCAAGGAGGAATACAAGCTCAGCCACCTGATGGAAGAATCCTTGCTGATGGACAAGATCGCACCCATCTTGTACAAACTTCACCTGGAAGCAATGGACAGAAGGCTCCGGATAGTCCTCAAGGCCGTCAGTGACTGTATAGAGAAAGATGGCTACAGCAACGTCGTCGAAAATGACTTTGTCTCCGACGTGAACACGATGGCTACCAAGAGGTAGTGGAGATCACAGGACCACGTTTTTATTGGTTCCGTGGAAGAAAGAACCGGAGCCGGGGAGGGAGGAACAGTCTTGCGAGGGACTGTGTATGCCGCTGTGTGAATTCAGTGAATTCAGAAATTGCGATAATAACCATTCTCAAAGTAGCTAAGGCGTTGACTCTGCAGAGGATTTAGCTCTGGGGCTCGGGCGCAACCAGATGGACCAATTTGGATGCCCCTTGGGGAATCTACAAGTTTTTGGCAGATGCGGCCTCCCAGTTGCCACGGCCTCCATGCAGTCCTGCTTCCCTTCAGCCCTAAATTATTTCTTCCTGTGGCCCGTGGCGGCGCAAGGGTTACACCTTGTGGGCGGAGCTTCTGGCAAGCCCCGCCTTGTGTTGCTGTAGATCCTGCGATGTGGTTGTGGCCAAGCCCTCTCCAACATGCGCGCAGACACAAGACACACAGGCATGCGGGGCACATGGGTGAAGCATACCAGCAATGTGGGGAAGGGCTTGCAGGAAATTTTGAGGTGGGTAAAGGAATAGTTGTCTATCTCCGGATTAAGTGATTAGAAAAAGAAATGCACTCATTGCCACACTTTTTAAAAAGAGCCGATCCCCAAAACATGATTTGGAAAAATATTTTGAGAATATGAATTGCCTGGTGGCAAAATGCACTTCTTTCCTTTCCTTTTGAGCTTATTTTGTTTGTACAGAAAGCAGATCTTTATTTAATATTTTGTATTTATATATGGAAAAAGTTGTCCTTTTGGTTTTGTTTTGTTTTTAAAATGCAAGCCTGAGGGAGGGAAGGAGAAAGCAACCGTCTCATGTTCACAGCTCACGATTTACTATCAAGGAAGGGCCATATAGAAATAAGTCAACACTGTTAGCAACTATCCTGGGACTGTTTCCACTTAGGAGTCCCAAGCAGGGAGAGAATCGAACCATTATGTGCTCCCCAAGTTCAAAACTGCATGCGCATAGGAAATGTAACATGTCAAGGGGAAGGTTTGGCCTATAAATATTGTTCCTGGCATGCTAGCTTTCAAAGTGCAAAAGAATTGGCGACATGGAAGAAGCTTTCTCCTCCCCCTCCACACCCACAGACACATATTTAAATAGTACAGTCTTATAGAAGAACATGCTTAGGAATCAGAGAATTGCAGAGTTGGAAGGGACTTTGTGGATCATCTAGTCCAACCCCTTGCAATGAATCTCAACTAAAGCATCCATGACAGGCAGCCATCCAACCTCTGCTTAAAAACCTCCATTGAAGGAGAGTCCACCACTGTCTGAAGCAGTATGTTCCATTGTCAAACAGCTCTTACTGCCAGCTATTCCTGATGTTTCGTCGGAATCTCCTTGTGACTTGAATCCGTTAGTTTGGGTCCTACCGTCCGGTGCAGGAGCAAACAAGCTTGCTCCATCTTCCATATAAAGATGGCTGTAACATCTCCTCTCAGTCTGCTCTTGACCAGGCTAGACATACCCAGTTGCCTCAACCATTCCTCATAAGGCTTGGTTTCCAGACCATCTTTCATCTTGGCCATCCCCCTTTGCACATGTTCCAGCATTTTAAATTGTGGTGCCTAGAACCTCACACAGTACTCTGGGTGTGGTCTGACCAAGGCAGACTAGAATGGTACTATGACTTACTTCTCTTGGTGGGGAAGAAATTTGATTCAGTTGATATTTGAAGGTGAACCTACTTACCACAATGCTACATGAACCAAAATGCAGCCATCCTTCGAAATTCTGCATTTTGCAGGGCAGTTCTCTAAGCTAGTGCAAAATGTACAAAAAAATGATGTATACTCCCATAAAGCTTGGGTCAGAATGCACATATTAGTCTATCATTTTATTGGTCCAAATCGCTTGGGAAAACATGTGCATTAAGTAAAATTGCAAACCAGAATGTGTCTCCTAAGAAGAATTTTGCACTAAGATGCTGGTGGATTTTCATGAGGAATTATTTTTTAAAAATTGCAAACTGATGTGGAAATGTGAAGAACTGAACTCAGCACTGGCAGAAATGAGAAACGAGGAGAAACCCAAATTGAGAGATCCGCCCATCCCTAGCTATGCCTTCTGCGTTTATTTCTCAATGTGCCATTAAGATTCTTGTGTTCGGGTTGTTTCCTTCGCTTTATTTAAATTTCTTCCGCCCCAACCCCACCCATGTCTGCTCAGCGCTTCAAGGATGGAGACATCTCAGAAACTGTTTTCAAAGGCAAAAAGCCCCACTCGATAAACGGCAACCCGCCTAGACATAGTCAAAGCTACAGCGACGTAGTCAAGAAGCGGATTTTGATAATTTGTGCATTGACAGGAATACTTGAATGTGGTTTTACAAAGTGATGTAAAAAAAGATATATGACAAATTGTACTATTTATCCATAAGGAAAAGTAGCGGCTCTTATCTTTCTAGACTGTCATAGCAGAGCAGCTGCTTTCCAGACTTTGCTTTTGATAGTTTTTGTGTAAATATATACATATACGAGTTTAAAAAAAACAACCTGAAGATTAAAAAAACAGACAAAAAAAGGCTGCTTTTGGCAGTGATAGACTTACTTTTGCAGCATTTTTTTTTTTTGGTGGATTTGTTTGCAATGTGGTCCCAGTGCAATAAAGATATGGCAAATGTGTAGCCAGAAAGTCTATGCGATGCTTATTTTGTCCATTTCAGCAGAACAAAAATAAGAAAGAACGAAAACTCGGGAGAACGAACTCACTGTGTAGTAGGACTTTCCCCCTCCAGATGTGGCTAGACCACAGCTCCCATCACCCCAGCCAACAACATCTGGAGAGCTCCAGGGTCTCCACCCTGCTGTATAATCAGAGAGATATCCCTATGGAAACAGGCTCTGAGCTGGCCCTGCCCAGCCAGGGTCCCCATTGGACAGGAAGGGCTTCCTGTTGGACTGGGAACTTGTCCCAGCAATGAGATTCTCTTCTTGGCTCTGCTGCGTTTCTCTGCCTCTCTTGGCTGCAACTTCTTGGCTCCTCTCTGGGTTCCTCCTTACCGCCTCTCCTCCGACAGCTACCTACAGCTCAGCCCTGACAGCTTGGGTGCAAACGGAGCCCTCAGTCACAGGTGCAAAGTCCCGGGACTGCATTCGGGGTTGAATTTCACCTTAAGTGTTCTCTGGCACCGGCACTTCATGCTGAGGGCATTGCATGCGTGCGTGCATGGCTGGGAGGTTGAAACACCTTTTTCTGCTTGTGTGACAAGCAGATTAGCAAAAGAAGATTCAGCGGCTCTGAAAGGGTGTCACTGTTTATTAGATCAGGAATCCGAGAGCTCAGGGGAATTAACATGACGAAGCGCAATGTCCCCTTGGAAGCTCAGCACACATCCTTCCAAAGGAGGGGGGCGGTTGCTTGAGTGCACCTTAAATCAGGGGGAGGAAATGTCCATAGGAATAAGAAAAGTTGCAAGGCTTCAATGGTTATTGTTATCTACAGGGCGTTTTTCCAGCCAGAACTGACTGGAACTTTCAGGTGGGTGCCATTGCTATTCTAAGAGAACAAGGAAGGCATTCATGGTGAATTTTGGCAGCTCTTTTTCTAGAAAAACACAACTGGTTATTTCTAATTACACCCACCTTTGCTCCAGAGGGCATGCATCCCCCCTCTCTTTTATCCTCACAACAACCCTGTGAGGTAGGTTAATGCTGAGAGACTGTGACTGTTGCAAGGTCACCCAGGGAGCTTCATGGCCGAGTGGGAGGATTCGAACCCAGGTCCTACTCCAACCACTGCACCACACTGGCTCTCAATAAGATGTGCTATCACAAAATGGAGTTCAGTTGCTTGTTCGTTGTTCAGATCAAGAACAGAGGTGAAATATTTTCTACCACATACCCAGCACACAATGAAGCGAAAGTTGGGATTCGCAGTTCTTTCAAATTCGGCAAATGTTCTGGTGTCGCTGCTTGAGTTTCAGATGTGCTGCTTCAGATTCAAAATCTGAATTTACACTTCAAATGTGAAATGTCGGCAACATGCCATTGAGGCTTTGTTAGTTGTTCTGGGATGGAAAGTTTTGCAGTGCAAACAATTCTCCAGAATTTCAGCAGGCAGCTGTGAGATAGGCACTGAATGGAAGAGAAGTGGTATTTGTGCCCCAAAACATTTGCAGGCAAAACAGTGTGGAAAGTGGGATTGTGTATAACTGCCCCAATACCATCATGAACACAAATAATCATGAACGCACAATAAAAAAAAAAGATGTCTCGGCCCATATTCCCAGTCAAAACCATTTTCCTAACTCAGTATTGTCTACATTGACATGCAGTGGTTTTGCAGGGTCTCAAAAAAATGAGTCTTTTTCCAGACCTACTGTATTTTTCGCTCTATAAGATGCACCAGACCACAAGACGCACCTAGTTTTTGGAGGAGGAAAACAAGGAAAAAAATATTCTGAATCTCAGAAGCCAGAACAGCAAGAGGGATCGCTGCGCAGCGAAAGCAGCAATCCCTCTTGCTGTTCTGGCTTCTGGGATAGCTGTGCAGCCTGCATTCGCTCCATAAGATGCACACACATTTCCCCTTACTTTTTAGGAGGGAAAAAGTGAGTCTTATAGAGCAAAAAATACTGTATCAAGAAATGTCAGGGGTTGATCCTGGGCCTTTCTACGTGCAAAGTAGATGCTCTGACATTAAGCAGTGGCCCTTTCCCAGAGTGGTTTTGGCTTTATGGCTTTGTGTTTTGGCAGACATCAAATATGAAACCTCCATAAGCTGTCCAACACTGTCAGTTATTAAATATTTCACAGAGCTGTCAAATAACATTTGAATATTAAACACTATTGCACACCGACCTTCAGATGCTGTCAGATACCAAGATCCATTGTACGTCAGCTGAGAAATACTGTCTCCAGTGCTAAAGATTATTGCAATGCCATCAAGTCAAATACTGCCAGGTTGCTGCCATTGCATGTCTGGATTAAATGCTAAAGAGCATTGCATGCCTACTGTCCCAATATCAAATCAGGGAATCAGATATCATATACAATGTCAATTGCAGAGGTGATATTCTAAGAATATCTTCCAATACATGTGAAAATGTAAGGTGTCATCATGTTCTGGCAGCCAGAAATGTTTAGTGAGGTTTAAAGGGACGTGGGTGGCGCTGTGGGTTAAACCACAGAGCCTAGGGCTTGCCGATCAGAAGGTCGGCGGTTTGAATCCCCGCGATGGGGTGAGCTCCTGTTGCTCGGTCCCTGCTCTTGCCAACCTAGCAGTTCGCAAGCATGTCAAGTGCAAGTAGATAAATAGGCACCGTTCTGGCGGGAAGGTAAACGGCGTTTCCGTGCGCTGCTCTGGTTCGCCAGAAGCGGCTTAGTCATGCTGGCCACATGACCCGGAAGCTGTACGCCGGCTCCCTCGGCCAGTAAAGCGAGATGAGCGCCGCAACCCCAGAGTCGGCCACGACTGGACCTAATGGTCAGGGGTCCTTTTACCTTTAGCTTACACTGACATTAGTTTGCCCTTCTTCCATGCAGCTGGAATCAGGAAGCAAAGCAGACACAAAGCTGAGGACCAACCAAGGAATAACATTCACACCCCTCCTGCCTTGCAGTTCTTGGTCAAATAACAGCTTGCCAAGCCTACAGAAGGGCTACCTTCGTAATCAGTTGTTGATCAGTTGCATCCAACCCTGACTTCTGATTCTTCAGAGCCCAAACCCCTGACTTTTCAAGTTCCTCCCTAACTCAGCTCCATCCCCTCAATTCACCAGAAGGCCAGTATTCATTTTATTTTTAAAAACCAGAGGCTGGCAGATGCCAGATCAACGGGTCACATCCAAGGCAAGGCCTTTTGACAGGTTCCGTGCTAAACTGCGAAGAGAACTCTCTCCAGACTCTCCATATAATCAGTGTTAACAATTCCCCAGAAAGCTAAGAGGCACTTAAAATCTTTTTTTCCCTAGCCCTCAAAGCCTGCTATTGTGAGCCTTTGATAAATAAATAAGCTGAACGTCTCTTTCACTGTCTCAGGCATAATTCCCACTATAAATAGCCCATTCTGTTGATTTTTAAATAATTCTTATTAATCAGCAAAGTCAGTGGCAGTTTTATAAAAGCCAGATTAAGTCCATTATATTTCTCTGACTGTCCTATTCACCGCTGAATGGTTTTACCGATTCTCAGGGTCCCTTACTTAATGCTGTTCAAAAAAAAAAAATATTTTATTGTGATATGCCTTGACATTCATCTTACTCCTTTAATTTATATATATATATA